TCTAGGCACAGAAATTGAGGCAACACAGGCATATTTAGTGATATGTATAGTACTGGGTTGGCCAAAAAGTGTTTAGCTTTTCCATAAAATGAAAGACATATTTTTCATTTTCATCAATAACTTTATCGATTTGGATATTTTAAGTATGTCAGCTAACTGCCACTACTGGCTTCTAGTGGGTAGAGAGACCGGGGTGCTGCTAAACATCTTCTAATGCATAAGACAGCCCCACATCAAAGAATTATTTGGCCAAAATGTCAATAGTACCAAGAAACTTCGCAAACCACTTTTGACACGTTCGTTCGGTCACAGCACCTTCTCCATATACTGCACAAGTCTTTTTTTGCACTTCAGTTGCACTTTTACCTTTCTTCACATAATAAAGCATAATATGCCCAAAAATGTTGCATATTTTCTTCCATCTTCAATATTAAAATGGCTACACAAAAATTCACCAGTTTTACTAAGGTTTTTTAAACGCATGTTGATATGACAGCTGTCACAATACAATCTAACAAAATTGTTTCAAGTGAAATTAAAAACAACTACTAGAGCCATCGCATGGAAAAAATTAAATGAACTGTTTTGGCCAACCCAATATTACATTCACATCATGGGAAGAGTTAATAATACAATTCCCGACAAGCCTGCCCACTTCTTGCTTAAAGAATTTGGTCACTTTCTTACAATGGACTGGCCACTGAAAACATCATCTTCAGTGTCTCCTTCACCGGGTAAAATTAAGTTTTCCCTTGTTTATGAAGACACACACACACCAGGAATCGGCATATCTGCTCTCCTGAACATGCGTCTGTTTTTATATCAAATGTTTGCACTCCCCGAACTAGAGGTGAAAATACCTAGCGAGCTTCTCTACTGTGGAGTTCGCAGGGAGTCCACTGCAGGCCCAAACATCATAGTGCTTGATCTTCTTCCTCCACGATACGTTACTGGAGACGGGAGCCTTTGCCAGAACGACTGTTATTCAGTGCAGTCAGACTTTGGACAATTCCTTCAAGTCATGAATAGCTTTAGGTGCACCGCCATACAGAAACCACTAAATGATCTTTCTATTCTGAACTCATTCCACTCGCCAAAAAAAACAGGGATGTGTGTGTGGGCCAGTCGAAATGTGAGTCACACCAAGTTCCTGGGACACATATGACCAAAGTTCAGTCGCAAACAGTGACAACCCACCCACCTGGACCACCGACTCCAAACCCACATGTCAGAAATAGAAGGTCTTCAACGGGTCCAGACTGGTACACGTCCCCCCAAAACTGCATAGCAAGTGTGCGGACTTAAAACTCCTAGAAGGGTTCATTTTTTAAATCTAAAATCCAGCCGTTTGCTGTTCTAGATCCTTCATCCTGGAAAAAAATATTGAAGTAAAAGAAACTCTCACCACTTGGCTTTTTGAAACAGTATCAATTAGCGCCAGACACTGTGTTTCAAGTGAAGAATGTAAAAGAAACAGAAGAGTCTGCCTTCCACAGAGTGGGTTAATTCAGTTTCATTTTTTTAATCCATTATCTCCATTTCACAAAGCCTCAGTCTTTGTGGTGGCAACATCTGTGACACAAGTTGTAGGCTTTTCGATGAGGGAAAAGGTTCTGACATGCACTGCAATGAATTTGAGAACAAATATAGCATAATATACTACCGATGCAAGCAACTGCACAAGCCCGGAGCAGTTTTGGGATACTGTCAACTTTCAGACGGTGTTGATGACTGATCTAATCACGTTATCAACATTTTAGCTAAAGAGCAGACACTCTGTTCCCTTTATCCCCAAACAATACCCAGTGTCACCAACCTTAACAGCTTTGAATTTCTTACTTAAACTCAGCTGTTTGGCCATGGTTAAATCAATCATCATAATCATGGCTCCCTGAACGATTTCACAATTGGCCACTCAACTGTGATATTTTTTTCTCCCAATTTCAGAACTAATATGGCTTCCTAGGGAAGTCTCTGGAATTTAAAAAAAGCCATCATTATGCAGTATCTTTCGCTTACGTTTTCACTATGAAGCAACATTTCTTTAATAAAGAATCAAGCCACAGACCCAAAGGTGAAGGCATAGTCATTCATTCATTCATTCACTCATTGTTTTGAAAAAGGTAATTAACATCAGGTCAGAAACATGTAATATCTTTGAAAGGATGGAGTGATGAATGAGGTCTTTAGTTAACACTTTGAAAAATATGCTATTTGGATTTGGTACTTATGAAAATGAGAGCTAAAAAAATCAAAAAGTTAATTTTAATGTAACAAATTGCCAACATAATTAACTTAAATCAACTATAAAATGCAAATATTTCATGAATATGAAAGGCGGGGGTTTTAAAATATATTTTATTCATTTTTAGAGAGAGAGGGGAAGGGAAAGAGAGGGAGAGAAACATCATTGTGTTGGTACCTCTCACACGCCCCCTACTGGGGACCTGGCCCACAACCCAGGCATGTGCCCAGGCATGTGCCCTGACTGGGAATCCAACTGGCAACCTTTTGGTTCACAGGCCAGCACTCAATCCACTGAACCACACCAGCCAGGGCTGAAAGGTAGGTTTTAAAAAGAAGTCAGCTAGTCGGTAACTGAGGGGGGTAAAAATGACCTTGTTCTGATTTATCACATGCTGGTACTGAGTGACAGAGACTACAGAAACAGCACCCTCCCTCTCCGAACTTGTTTCCAAAAATTGTCCATGATGCCCCTGAAATTAGGCACTATTGATCTGGAACTGCGGTGTGCCCTAGATTTCAAGTCAACCTTTGTCCACAAAGGCCATTATCCAATTTTTTTTGAGGAGATAACCAGAACTAGTGACAGTTGTTGGTCAAAGATAATCTTATCAGAATCTCAATCTACCTTTCTCAGTAACGAATGTCTTTTCGAAGTACCGTGTTTTACTATACATCTTTATAAACATGGACCAAGAAAGGGGAATACTGGTTAAAAGTAAGTATGTAAAATGACTATTACTAAAAAAAAACTGTTAATGAACTTAAACCTTTGGCATATTTAAGTCCTTAAGCCAAGATGAGTTTCTTGGGGAAAAAGCCTAAATCTGAACTTGGCACATCAGGATAACACCCTAAACATACTCTTCACTTGACTGGTTTTTGCAGCTCCAGCTGTGGGCATTACAAACTCCAGTCTGAGCGCTGTATCAGCCAGGGCTCCAGTGAGCTCACATCAGCCCACAGGAATTCCACATCACCCCCTTCTCTTTCCTACTGGGAAATACAGTGTGTTTTACTTGTTTCCTATAGAATATAAATAGAAAAGACGTGTCCACCAGTATTTCAGACCCATTAGGAAATTTCTGTTCTGAGTCTAACATACAAACTAAAATCAGAATGCTCTGGCCTTTCCAGTAAAGCACCCCTTCCCTTTGCAAAGTCCTGCTCTTTCTCTAATTAATTAATTAATTAATTAAAGAAAGTGCTCATTAATTTTTTTTTTTTTTTTCAGAAACTGAGAACAATATAGACCCAGGTGGTTTCATAAACAATGGCAAACAAAATACTTATGTCTAGCTCTGAAATTTAGCTCATCTGGCTAGAAAGATAGAGAAGCCCGTCTATACAGCCCTGTTATCTCCACACTTCCTGACTGAGTTTATTAGATGCAATGTGGTGGCTTCTTTCCTCTCCTCCTGGAAATGCCCTTTCCTCCAGGCACTGGGGATGCAGCTTTTGACTCACAATGAAGCCCACGCCTGTTTCCTCCCAGACCTGGCAACAAGAGGGATCCTCACTGTGAGGAACAGTGGTGAATGAAAAGGGAAACTTGACTCAGGAACCACAGCCCATATAGTTTTTTTCTTCTTCTCCAAAAAAAAAAAAAAGAGCGTTAAGCACTGATAATTGAGAGTTCTGAATCAGTTTGTCGAGTTATGTTTTTTTTCCAAGAAAAATCTATCACACCCATTTAGTGACCTGGGCACACAAATCTCCAGAAAAAAAGAAAATGTTTGAAATAGGAAATAAACAAAAATCTTAATTCTATTTACTTCCAATTCTCAAAATATCTCTTCCTCCCGGCAGGCAACTGCTTTCCTTAATTACCAAACTTGGACACTAAATCAAATCCTCATTCTATTTGCTCCCTGTACTTCTTATTGAAAGGAAGGATTTGTTTTGGTCCCACATGTTGAAAAATGCATGTTCCTATAATTAACAGTTTGTATACCACGCCTTCTGCCACATTTCCCTGTTAAATCTCCCTTCTCTAAAAATGATCCCCGAGAAGACAACTGCCAGCCCACATCCTTTTCTCAGCCACAGAACACAAATCTGAAGCCTCTCAGCCACCTTCCTAACTACTCCTCCAGATCACAAAGTTGGGAACGAAAGGGATTCCAGGTGAAAATGTGAGAGTGAAAAAGAGTTGGAATTTTAGAAGTGTGGCCTCAAGAGACTATTTTTCCGGCAAGCTCATAATGAATACATCCCCGGTGAATTTCTCACATCCTGACTGGACTACATAAAAAGATTTTTTTATGTTGCTATATAAGAATAACAATTACATTCTTTCATTTAAATCACTATGCAATAGGCCCCACGGGAACTAAAAAGATATATACAAAATTTCTGTTCTCTCTCAAAGAGCACTGTTTATGACTCAATATTTCATAAACTTTTTGTGACATTTTTCAATAACACTCTCCACCCACTCACCTCCACCCCCACTTCTCTGATTGGGGTTCTCAAGTATTAGTGGGAGACCAGGGTGTATATGGGGGGGTCTTAGGGTACAGACAAGACATTACACGTCCTATCCCGGAGGTATTTTCACACATAGGCTACTTGGGCGCCCCAGGAGTTAAACCCTACCACCACCACCCCGCAAAAGCGCTCGTTCCCATTGGAAAACAGGAGTGAGTAGGAAAAGGAAATCGACCCGGGGAGGAGGAGGCGCAGCTGCTACACCCAGCTGCAACCACACAGCGGTGCCACTCCTCTCGGGTCTGAGCAGAGTCAAACGCCCTTACCTGGGGGTGGAGGCGGCCGGCACTAGTTCCAAAAGTTCTGGTTCGCCTTCCCTCGGAGTTCAAAGCTCCAGCACTCCGGCCCCGCCGCAGGCTAGCAAACCCGAATCCGGTCCCGTCCCGCTCCTGGCGTCCCCACCCTCCGGGCCCTACACCATGTCAGGAATCCGGGCAGACACGGAGCTGGGAGCTGACATCACTCCCCGTTCCAGGTACCTCCCCCCTCCCACCGCCGCGCTCTCTCCTCCCCGCCTGCGGGAATTAGCCAAAGAGAGATCGCAAGGGGGAGGGGCCGGCTGCGCCCCGGCGCCCGCTGATTGGACCTGGGGACCGTCACTCAGAGGAGTCAACTAATTTTATACATTCTTTGCTGAGCCAGACTAGGGCTGGAAGTGGGTGTTGATGGAAAAAAAATGCTGCTTTTCCTGCTATCTCTAAGGAGAGGAGATGTATGGGGAAGAACACTGTGGGTCGTGTTTTAAACTTTTCTTGGCGTATTTCCTACATCCCAGAACAGAAATGAAACTAATCCACCCAAGCCCCCTTCTGAAGGAAAAAAATTGCCTCTATGTCACGGGCAAGTACGAGTCCGGCTGTGCGTGGAGCAGAAAATGGCTAGCTTTAAGTCAGGCGGATAAAGGAAAACGCCAGCTCACTCTGCTACCCTTTCATCTTGGCACTCCTGGGTGTTCCCGTAAACGGGAAATTTAGAACTTCAAAGACACTTCGCAAAAATTTGGAAAGCGGATGCTAGGAAAAGGAGACCCAGCTCTGAATTGTTAACTTGCAGCGTTGTCCGACCATGTGGCTGCTTTCGCTGCTAGCGATGAAAATGAATCACACCACACGAGCTTCCAGGCAAATGAGATTGAACCTCTGAAATAAGAAAAATTACTATTGACGTTTTTCAGAACCTTTAACGCTGCTGTTTTCATGCACAACTGAAAAGGAGGGGAACTCACAATTGGGCTGAACAAGCCACATGAGAACAATTACTGTTGAATGGAACCAATTGCAGAGACTGAGCTATCAATTAAGAATTAACTAACATTTACCCTGGACAGAGATCATGCTGTATAATCCCCTTGGCTAACAGAACAGAAAGCTTCTCAGGAGATGGCTTATTCTGCCTATCTGCTCCAAGGCAGAACTGAATGGTGCAAAGTGGCTCTATTTATATGAGACATAGTTAGCATACTACCCATCATCTTCTGGAAGTACAATGAATTCATTACTGACTTTCTGTTGGTTTTTCTTATTTGTTTTTGACAGATGACAACATCATACATTTCACCACGGTGCCAAGAACTGTAGAGAAATGCAGAGCCCAACATCTTTCCTCATTTAATCCTCAGAACCATCTGGTAAAGTGAGTGTCATTAGTCCCATTTTAACATAAAAACCAAAGGCTCGGCAAGGTTACCTGAGTAAATTTCTCCAGAACACCCAGAACTGGAGTTGAAACCAGGGTCTCAACTCCATTTGACTGCAAAGCCATTTTTTCTCTCTACTTTAAAGCAGTGATGGCCTGCAATTTACACCCATTTGAACACTATACTGCTTTAAAAAAAGCCGCAGACCCAAGCCAGTGCTCTCACAGATCTCTGTTATGTCAGTACCACTGTCGGACCTACACTGTTCCAAGCTCCTATCGTGCACTTCTGCCTCCATTTTTCCCCAACTCCATGCGCCCCTACTAGATGGGTTGTCGAAAACTCTGGTTTTGCCCTCAGCATCTTCCCCTCTAAATCAGGGCCCCCTTTGTCTGCAATTCTTGGCTGGCCATTTGAATGTCTCCCTAATTTGGAATCTGTTTACCTCTCCCAGCTTATCTCCCACTTCAGTTCTGGGGATCACTTTGCTTGATTCTCAGCTCCTGGTCAAACTAGAAACCCCACTCTTCTGTGCGTAGGAGTTGGTTGCTGTTGTTTGAAAAGAACTTTTAAGTCTCAGCAACTTTCAAATATATAATACAGTATTATTAATTATAGTCACCATGCCCACATGACAATTTTATAACTGGAAGTTTATACCTTCTGACCCCCTTCTGCGTATTAAGTCCTATCATGCTCTCAAACCCTGATTAAAGTCCTTGTCCTCACTGTGCACTACAGGGAACAGATTAAGGGCTTGGATTCCATTGCCCAGTTCTGCTGCTTACTTGCTGTGTAACTTGGGAAACTCACTGAAACCGCCATCAGTTACCTCCTTTCTAAAAAAAAAAAAAAAAAAAAAAAAAAGAGGGGGGGGGAAGGGAAGGAGAATGAGAAGGTGAGAAACATCAATGTATGGTTGACTCTCGCGCACCCCCTACTGGGGACCTGGCCATCAACCCAGGCATGTGCCCTGACTGGGAATTGAACTGGGGAACCCTTGATTCACAAGCCAGCACTCAATCACTGAACCACACCTTATGAAATGGAACTAATAGATAATACTTCAAAGGTTATTGTAATCTTTATTGGGATTGTACAAATGTGCAAACATATAGTTATATATGCCTGGCTATATTCAATTTCTATCTTCCCAAACTCTGAAAAGCAAGATCCATGCTTAATACCTCTTCGTATTCCTTATACCCAATTCAAAGAAAAAACTCAATAAAAATACAGGACAGAAATGGATCATTATATCACCTCCATTCCTTAAATAAACCAAACCCCAGATACCCCAAATAATCTTAGAGCCAGAAAACACAGTTTTCTCTCTCTCTCCCTCTCTCTCTGCTTTGGCTGGAGTCCTTCCCTTTCCCACTCTCCCAGCATTTATGCGACAACCCTTCACCCCCTCAGATATTTTATGCACCAACCACTTAACTTGCCTCTTAACCACTCATCCTTCCCTCCCCACAGCCAGGGACACACTTTTGTGTCGTTCCTGTTGACTGCCTTGCTCTCCCAAATGTCTTCTAACAGAGGCGGGGTGGCTACCAGTCATTCTTCCAGCCCCAGTCATAGGATGGCTACCCACAGGCTCAAACTGTACAACCAGCAGCAGAAGATGGGGGAGGGAATGTCCCACCCCCACAGGGATGGCAGGATAGAATAACAGGAAGTTGCCTCCCATCCCCTCCACAGCTGGAGTGATAACAGCTGTCATCAGAGTCCGGACAAACAAAAGACTCAAGAGGAAAGCTGAAAACTGGCCTGGGCTGGAGAAGCAGTGTTCACACCAGGGTTTGGAAGCGTGTAAGAGGGGAATCATTGGGCCAGATTTCAGGCTCCTTCTCCCCACCTTCTCCCTTCCCCCTTAATCTTTGCCTGGAAGCCATTTTCCTTTATATATATCCATATCCCTATATCGCTCTCCATGTATATATATAAACGCATACATATAGCATTGATTATTCACAATCTACTCTCTTCTGCCCTCTGTAGTAACAGATTGCAGATTGACTCTTATCTACCTCCAACCTCCAAGCCTGTACTTGGGTGAAGACACTTTCCATACTTTGTTTAGATGCGGATCCAGGAAAGGCTCGCCCAGCTCATTAAGGTCCAGTCATTTGCCTGCTTCCAGCTGCAGTTCTCCAAAGCACAGTCCCGGTTACTCTAGACTCCTTTCAGAACGCTTGCATGTCTCCGATTTTCTAAGAAACAAAGCCCCACCTGTACAGGCTCTTACATCCTGGTCCCAACTGACCTTTCTGAACTTATCATCACTCTGCTTCATACATCTGCACTGTGCAAACCAAATCAGTCTGCAGCTATATTCCCACTTTTGCCCATTTCTACTAAAATCCATCTCACAGCGTTGTTGCGAGGATCCCACTGAATGTCATGCAAATGACAGAGCATGTTGCTTGACACATAGCAAGTCATCGGTACACACATTTCCCTTGTTCTAATCACATAAAACAACTATAGTATTATTTTTATGTATGGCTTATGTCCCGCACTGACTGTAAGTTTCTTACGGTCCTTGAGGGCAGGATGCCAATTTGTGTCATCCCCTTTGTGGGATTTAGAACCAAGTGGTGCCCGGTGGATAGTCAATAAAAATTTACCAAATGAATGAATACCATCTTTTGCTTAAAACTTCTAACCTGCTATGGGCCAGGTCTTTAGAAATTCAGAAAGAACTTGACCAAAGTGGTCTTAAAGTGAGGCATGATAGTGAGGCTCTAGGAAAATTCTTTGGCAAGTAGAATGGGGAAGCAGACTGATAGCTGAAGAAATGGGCCAAACAATTGACAGCCAGATACAGAAGGTCACCAGGGCCGAAAGCCCCGGGTGTCTAACAGTGGGCAAAACTGGTGCTGGGCCTCGCCCCCCAGGTGGCCTTTCCTCCCCTGGCATATGGCTGGCTATGCAGTTTGCACCCCCTGCCTTTCCCTTCCTAAAAATAACATATAGGCCTCAGTTGTATTTCAGCTCCAGGTCCAGAAAAGCAGCAAAGCCAGGTGGGCAACACCAGGACCAGCTGCAGTGACTAATGACCCCCCTGCCCTGGCGCTGACCAATCGGTGGAGACTATGACCGTGAAAGAGTACACCTGGAAGAGCTGATGAATACCCTGTTGAGATCCTTCCCTAAGACCTCCCCTACACTCCCAGCCTGTGAAACCCTCAGACATAGGACCCAGCCTGCACTCTCCCTCTCCCTCCCAGTAGCATGCCTGTGCTTTTCTCTTCCCCTTCTTTTTCCCCTACAGGCATGCATCTCCTAAACTCTAAAGGTCCCCACAAGACTTGCAGCTGGGGAGTAATGAGCAACAGTGGCTTTTAACCCCCTGACTCTCCAGTGAGCAGACAGCAGCCCCACCTTGGCTCACTTCTTTCCTGCAACATTTTTAGAGAACCAAAGCAGCCCAGCCTAGTCTCTCTACTGTTGCTTCTCCTATCCTAAACCCTTCCTTGTTTCCCTCTCCCCAGCTTTAATAAACACACTCTCAAAATCACCTGGACTCCTGTTGTGAAATCTTCCCTGTGCCTTGTCAAGAACCCACACACTACAGTCTGGCCCAAGACAGAGCTGCTCCGGGCCCAGCCACTCACCAGTATCTGGGTGCCTCTGATTTTTCTCATCCCAGTCACATCGCCAAACACAGGGGGAGGATGAACACATGGTATAAATCATGAACCCAAATTCAAATGAAACAAGCTTAGCTTTAGAATTCCTTCTGAAAGGAAATTGCTGCTTATTCTGTCTGATTCTAAGTATGGCACTGCTGATAACCGAGATACTCTTTTAATATCCTTCTGCTGGGTACTAAGTCACTACCCAGCTATCAGCACTGATATCATTTATGAATCCAACCCTCCTCCTTCGGCCCATGGACACAGGTTAGAAATCTCCCCAGTATCTCACTCCAAGCAAAGTTTTATTTTAATCACTCTTTCCTTATAACCAAGATTGTGCTGGTTATTCTCTGATTACTTGCCAGATAAATCCAAAAATTTAGTTATGGCCAGTCAACTCCCCCAATTTATTATTCTATTTACGATGGGAAAAATTAATTAAAAATAGAAACTATGTCTTTTTCATGGTCTTTGATTAATGTTCAGATAGTGACTAAACAAATTAAATTCCCTTAAACAATTAACCTCATTTACAAACATAGTTAATTGAATTTCCTAGAGAGTGTGTCTGATTTCCATACTCTGAAAGAGGCCAACGAGGAGGGGAGTCGGCCTGCCCAGTACCCAGCAGCAATTCCTACTTTCCGTTCCGTGCAGACTCCCTGCACGGCGGCCTTCCCAAGCCCGCGGAACCCTCGCCCGCGCTGTCAGGCCTTTTCGGAATTGACAAGCCACTGCCGTTCTTTCCTCCCTGCATGCACTGTGTGCCGACAGACGTCTTTAAAGGTCCCGGGAACCTGCTCAGTCCACAAGAAAGAATTACTCATGACCAGTACCTCCCACCTTGTCTTTCACCTGCCACAATACTAAGAAAAACTCCTTTTTCAACTACGCGGTTGGCCAAAAGTCCATATGGGTTTTCCAGAAAATAAAAGACACATTTTTCATTTTCATCAATAACGTTATTGATTTGGAGTCGGCTATCTCCCGCATGGTATAACAATGATCGTACTCAATGTCTCAGTTTGATCGCTGTCGACTTCAACTGGTCTACCTGACCGTGGAGCATTGTCCAGTGAGAAATCCCCAGCACGAAACTTTGCAAACCACTTTGGACACGTTGGGTCATTCACAGAACCTCCTCTGTACAGTGCACAAATCTTTTTTTTTTTTTGCATTTGAGTTGCGTTCTAACCTTTCTTGAAATAATAAAGCATATTATACTGGAAATGTTGCATATTTTCTTCTAGCTTCAATATTAAAATAGCAGCACAAAAATTCACCAATTTTGATAATTTTTTTAAAAATGCACGCTTATATGACAGCTGTCACAATACTGTCTAAAAGTCTAACAAAACTGTTTTGAATAATGTGAATACAACTAAGGGCTATTAGAGCTATCTTACAGAAAAACACAAATGAACTTTTTGGCCAACCCCATGACATATCATGGCTCATTAGTAGTGAACATTTACCCAGTTTCACACATGATGCATCCAGTGTCTGGACCAGCACCAGGTGCGATCCCCAGGCCTTTAACCGATCCATTAATTCCCAGTCCTCTCACCTTTTCAGCTGGACAATCATTCATTTACTGTGGCTTTATTTAGTTTCTCCTAATCCTTAACCAGAATTCTTTTGCTTAACTAGAATTTACATTTAAAAATGGCACATTAAACCCCAAGGCAGAAACTTCTAAGAGGACTAAAACGAATGAGTGTTAGCTGTAAACAGATGTTAGATAAGATCTGGACAACTGGTCTAAATAAATACTTTCATTAAGGAAACTTTCCTGGCAAGTTGAAACAAGTTGCTGATTAACAAATCTTCAGGCTCGAGCATCTACCTCCCAAATCCTACAAAAAAAGGTTCTCGACTGCTTTCCCTGGCCCCTCCCAATCCTATCTCCAGAAAAGTCTTTCCTCTGGAGGATGCTGACTGTGTAGCTTTTGAATTGCCAGATAATTAGTACTGTGGTTTGTTAAACTGGCCAGGGAATTAAGGAAGCAAAGAGAAAGTTATAACCATCCCTTTAGCATGTCTTTTAAATGCTCTAAACCTGGTTCCTCTTACGTCACCTTAGGTAGTTTCCATTTGATTCTGTATTGCTGGAATTCCAAAGTAGACATAATGTAGACAAGATCCCATTTCTGTAGAAGATCACCACCCATTCCTTAATAGAGGGAAGCACAAGAAATAGCACCTCTTGTCCTGGCCAGGCAGTTGAGTTGGTTGGAGCCTCATCCCACGCACCAAAAAGATTTAAGGTTTCATCACTGGCCAAGGCACATACATAGGTTGCCGGTATGATCCCCAGTCAGACATGTAGGGGAGGCAACTGTTTGATGTTTCTCCCACCTTGAGGTCTCTCTCTTCCTCTCTCTCTCTAAAAAAAAAAGTAAATAAACAGTAAAAAAAATTAAAATAAAATAAATCTTCTTTGGTAAAATTAAATAAGGCATTGCATGTACTCTGAGTTATGAGACTTAGGATCACTTGACATTTTTGAGCTCCAGTATCTCCATGCGTCAAAGGGACGGCAATGATGCTGAAGAAAGAGTGAAGTGTCGTGGAGACACAAAACCCTAGACACTGTACCCGGCCCCCCAGGCTCCTTCCGACAGAGTCCAAGACTGTTCTCTACACACAAGATTCTCAGTTAATATTCTGAGGCACTTGCTATTTTGAATAGCACTTGGCTGGACCATGGATTCTCACCTGAATCAACATATAGTACAGTCAAGTACGAATTTGCCAACAGCCTGAAACAAATTAACATAGGAACTTCAGCCGAGCTTTAGACTGAATAGTCACGAAGTGGTCCTGTCACACCCTCTCTCAAGACAGTGAAAGTGAGAGAGATAGGAAACCAGAAAATAGAGTAGCAAAGAGGCAGATAGAAAAAAAAACAATAAACAGAAGACTGAGTAGATAGAAGCATGAACTACAGAAAATGAGATAAGGAGAAAGTCAGTAACTCTGGTCAAATATAAAGCAGAAAAGGACAGATGCTGAGAGTCACACACAGAAAAGGTGGTGATTGGAACCATGAGGCAGGAGGCACCCTGAGGGCAGTGGAGGGTGTGGAAAACATAACAACAGTAATAAAAAATTATGATAACCAAAGGAAACACCAATTTCTGTGTGCCTAGTACTATTTTAAGTGCTGTAAATATAGTCAACCCTGTGAGTCTGCTGCCATTTCACAGATGAGGAAACTAAGCCACAGAGAGCTGAAATAACTTGCCCAGGGTCACATGCTAGGAAGTAGCATGATTGAACCCAGTTTGGCACTAGAGTCTGTGTGGAGAGAGAAGCTGAGTCACGAGCCCAGCAGAGTTAATGCTGAATTCTTAATCTCATTCCGGTTCCCATGAGGCTCACTGGTTCAGTAGTCTCCTGCATTTCCTTCATTCCCCAGGTCTCCTCACGCTAACTCACCATCACTGGAAGTCACCTAAACACTTGCAGGGGTGTCCAGCCTGCGGTCTGAAGCATGGCTGTGAACTCAGCCCAACACAAAAATAGAAATTTACTTAAAACATGAGGTCTCTGTGTGATTACGTGTTGCAATGTATTTAATGTGTAGCCCAAGACAACTCTTCTTCCAGTGTGACCCAGAGATGCCAAAAGTTTGGACACCCCTGCCTGCCTCTTAAAAGAGTCTAACATCATGACTTCAAGTGAAATAACGAATGGGACAAAGTGAAGTGTTGTTTTTATTCCGAAGTGAGGTGAAAGTTCTGAAAATCTGTGCTAGTGATCAAGACTGAGTTGGCCCTGGCCGGTGGGGCTCGGTTGGTTGGAGCACCATCCCACGGACCAAAAGGTTGCGGGTTCAATTTCCAGCCAGGACGCACACCCAGGTTGCAGATTCAATCCTCAGTTGGGACGCACACCAGAAAGCAACCAATTGAAGTTTCTCTCTCTCTTTCTCCCTCTCTCTCAGCAATGAAAAAATGTCCTTGGGTGCGGATTAAAAAAAAAAAAAAGATTGAGTTTGTCTCTAAGTCATGTTCCTTTGTGACATTACCTTGACCCAGCCTCAATCTGTCTTGGTGGTATACTGTGTCGCGTACTGTGGGAATTTTAGAATGTATTAGTTTTCAACATGTAATTATCATTCCTTATTAATTAAATATAATTATATTAATTACATAACCCTGTTCCACCTCATTTTCTCCCTAAGCAACTAGAAGGAAGAGGCTATGATTATAGGGGCACTGAACAGAGACCAAAAGAAAAGGAGCCCAGATACTGTTTTATCTTTCTACCACCTCTCGCAACAGCGGCCAGACCACTAGGCTCTTGAAGGAGTTGATTTTTTTCTAATTGTAATGAGAACAAAGGGAATATCTTGCTACCATTTTGTTGTTTCACTAAAAAACAAAACCCTTCCTCATCAGCCTCACCTTGCTTTAACTGAGTACATGTGTGAGAGTGACCACTGGTGTGCGGGCAGGCGCCCCTCTCTCATAGGACTTGTTGGAAAGGCCGGAGCTTTGCTACCCACAGAGCAGTCGATGGAAACTGTCAATCAGCGATTCCATCGTCATGTGAAGACAGAAAAGAGCTGGAGTCTAGAGGCAGCCCTGCCTTACAAGAGGCTGAATAACAACAACAACAAAAAAAATTGAAGTCTGCTGAAAAACTAGTAGATTTAGAACTTTGTCTTATAATAAAAATTATTCCCATATATTATTGCATGGATAGTATTGGGCATGTTATTCTAATCCTTTTAACCCACTGGCTTCTAAATTCTTTTAGAAGATATTAAATACGGCAAAGAAAATAATCACCCTCCTCCAACATGTCATGTAGAACCCCCGGACTTTGCCTCCTAACGAGGATTACTCTTC